CATTTTCTCCCATAAAAGGTTTCCTATGGACCCTCAGACTGTCTGTCCTACAGTTCAAGGAACAGGAAGAAAATAAACTCCTGGTAAAGGAAGAACATTCAGCTTTCTGGAAGGCAAGGTTCATGTCCAACTCATCTCTCGCTTCGATGATTCACTTCCTACCTGTTAAATACAGAGTGAACCCGTTTTTCCATCACAGGCTATGTTGTGAGCCTATCCATCGTTTATTCATGCACTCATACTCAGTCAAACTACTTATATTGGGTTCTTATGCATTCCAGGAGGACTTGGGAACTAAAGCAAAATAAAAAATAAATAAAAAATGATGCCATGTTCCATTTCTGCTTAATCAAATTGCTTTAGCAAGAGTTTAAGAGAGAGGAACAAGCATTCAGGCCTCACCCAACAAATATGTACTGAACACCTGCTAGTAGTCAGGCAGCGGCATGCAAAGTGCTCCACATCCTTAGAGCTTACCCTCTAGCAGGGAGGAAGACAAAAAGCAAATACACTCTACAGTGTGTTGGATAACTGTCAGTGGTTTTAGAAACACAAGTCCAGCCAGGATATAAGAATTGCAGGACAGTCTGCAAATTTATAGATACAGGCTAAAGAAGATCTCACGGAGAGCACTGATCTGGTATGAGGTGAGGATGTGAGCCACGTAGAACAGAGTCCCAGAAAGGAGTTAGGAACCAGGTCTTCCCCAAAAACCATCCACAATCCCCAATAGTATTATCTCTAATGAAAAGCCTGCCCTTAATCCTCATGCTTTCTGAGAAATTTAAGATGAAGTCCATCTCCCTTCCTTTTTTCTAACCTCCCCATCTGAAGAGTTGCCTATTCATTCTGTTTTTGCATAGTTGAAGGGGATATGTGACCGAAATATAGTTGGTCCCTGTGGAAGTCTCCCTGTGGACTGTTCTACCATGACATGAAAGTAAAAACAGACACTTTGAATAATCAGAAATGGGTTTTGCCCAGGCAGAAGTTTTACCTCTGCGAATGTCAAGCTACAGGCAGCAATGAAGGCTGCTTGATGTAATCCTGGTCTCACTTCCCCACAGAAGTTACAAAAATACATATATAATTTTCCTCATTGTGTCCATTTTTGGTTGACGAGTTCTAACGGTTTAGGGTTCGTTACTTCACCCTTAAGTAACCTAAAAACCACAGGAAATGAAAACTTAACTCAGTGCAAATGACATGCACAATGAACTCCGAAAATGTGCTGGGCCTCACTCTGCTCCTGGTGACCTTTAACAAAAAGAGGGATTCTGATGACACCCTTTGACCAACCATAAAAAGGCTTTAATTTACAGATTATCGAGTATTGCAATCTTTGAGGCCCTGACAGCACAAATAATCAAGATTCCGAAAGATCGTCTTGAATTTTAAATTCATTTGTAAGTTGTTTCAGCATGCAAAAATACTTGGCCTATTTCTAAAGCAATACATGGGTAAGAGGAATGGTGAAATGGAGCCAACATTTTTCAAACACGTTTTACTTTTTTTTGAAACATAGCCACCAGAAAGAATGCAATTCATTTTTAAAGAATTCTCTCAAGAAAGCACAGTTAGCCAAATCATTCATCTCCCTGCCCACAAGGGAATAAATGAACAAGTGAAGATATGATATTCCACCKGTGTAAGGTTGTTCCTATCCTTCTTTCTCTACAAAACTGGTACTAATTTCTACTCATTTGACTACAAATAAAATCAGTAGGGGCATGATCTGTAGTTTATCTGTGTTAATTATAAACCTGAGTCTCCAAGCTAGGCAAGAAATATTCAATTTTTTATCTAATTACTATTGAAGCCCACAGAGACTATTGTAGGAATTCAGAATGGTTGGTTATTGTTCTCAGAACCTTTCAGCAGAATAGAAAGAGATGAAGCAAAGGTTCACCCTAAAACTTCCTCTCCAAAATAAAAGGCAGAGAAACCATAAAAACTCGGGAAAAGAAACACAATCATGGAAAGGCCAATAGGAAAGAGGCTCCCAGGCAAAGTGTGATGGTCCATTCTAGGTCAACTTGGCTGGGCCAAGGGGTGCTCAAGTTACATGATATTTCTGGTTGCATCTCTGGTGATGTTTTCAGGTAAGATCAGCATTTGAATTGGTGGACAGACTAAAGTAGATTGCCTTCTGCGGTATGGGTGGGTGTCACCCAAACTGTTGAGTGCCAGAATAGAAGAAAAGGTAAAGGAAGGAAGGAGTCACCTCCTTTACTTCCAGCCTGATTGCTTGAACTGGGACATTAGTCCTCCACTGCCCCTCAACTGGGACTCACTCTATGGGTTCCCCTGGTTCTCAGGCCTTTGAACTTTGACTAGAGTTACACCACCAGCTTTCCTGGGACTCCAGTTCACAGTGACAGACTTAAAAGCCTCCATAATCACATGAGACAGTTCCTCATAGTACATCTCTTACCAAATCTATACCCTAATGGGTTTTTTTATTCTGGAGAACCCTAACTAATACAGAAAGAAAGAGTGCTTCTCTTCTGGTGTAGCAACTGCTGCAAATGATGCATAAGTTCAAGTGAAAACATATCACTGGTTTCTGTCCCTGTCCTCAGCTACTTCCAATAACTGGCTTATCCTCGGAGAGCTACCCTCTCGGACTTCAAATCATGGCTTGCTGACAAATAGTTCTCTCTCTTTGGCATGATACCTCCTCTTTGCTGCCATCAGTAAAAATATTGTTCCTGGTCATGTCAAAGGAACTCTCAAGTAGGGAAAACTTCCTCCACATATCATCCACCCAACATAACATCGTCTTTCATGGGTCCACTGCCTCATTCTTCCTTTTCCCTCACTTTGCATATTTTTTCCATTACTATTTCCAATTTCTTAATCCTGCTAGCTGGTTGCATAGTTACAAGCATAACCCATGTTCAGTTTTGTGTCCTTTTCTTTATTTTTGCATCAAATATTGTGTGCAAAGGATGCAATACATCTTTGAAATGGTATTTTCAATAAAGGATCAAAGTTCACTTTTAAAAAGATTTTACCCTTTCCACTCAGCAAGACTTCATGGAGTCTGTGGAAAATACCACCTGATTCTGGGTCAGCATTAATCACAAGCAAGTTACTTACTAAGAAACCATCAAATATATAGAGATTTCTACTAAATTATTAGAGAGCAAAGGACAGGTAATAATGGAACTGTCATTGGCTCCTGGGTGGCCCTTGCAAGCATAGATCTCAGGATAAGGTGTCGGATGCCTAAGCAATAGGACATCAACCAAAATAAAAATTTTTTAAAAATGTGGAACTCCAAAAATATACCACTATGGATTCAATGTACAGAATTTGGTTATCATGTATTAATACCCCAGCTAATGTAACTCTCTTCATGAATGAATGAATTTCCATCATTCAAGATCTGGCTTATATGTCTCATTCTCTTAGAAAACTTCCTGAATCCTCCAAATTGCATTCATCCCACCTCTTTAGTGCTCACAAGCTGCCGACTCCTTTCTCAGTTTTGATGTGTACTATATTCTGCCTTTGCCCTAGCTCCCTGTGTCTGTGATTTACAGGCCCTCTTTAACAGCAAGCTCTGTGAAGGGAAGGCTTCCACAGCCTTGGCTTCCTCTACAACCTACATTTTACATTTTTTCTTGTGTTGTAAACACTMTCTCTTGGACATCTCTCTCTTTTGAGCACTAGTGCCATATCTTATTCTTTTTTTATAATCCCCAAATCTAAAATAGGCATAGTGTGGGCCCACATAAAGCCTGCCCCACTGAAGTCCCCGTTCCAGAGAATGAAAATGGACACAAGGGATTCATTTAACAAGAATTTACTGAATGACTACTATGTTCCAGGTTCTATCCAACGTGCCAAGGATACCATTAAACAATACAGGCAATGTCCCTGCTCTCTAGAAGACAATAAGGAATTAAACCAATCAATAGAAAGATGATTTTGAGTCAGAATAAGCATTATAAAAAAGTTTTAAATGAGTCAGAGTTGAAGAGTGATTCAGAGGAATGTGAATGTGGTCCACAAGTTTTCTGTAGGACAGGACATTTGAGCTGTGAGGAGCCAGGTATATGAGGATATACAAGGGGACAGAATCCTAGGAAGAGGCAGCAAACTAGAGTAATGCTTGCTCTCAACCCAGAACAGGTCACCTGGCAGGGGGAGAACAGGTATAGAGGAAATGGTGGAGCTGGCTAATAGCTGCTTCTCTCTTCCCCACTCATACCATAGCAGGGTGCCACTTTCCCCTCACTTTGCATATTCTTTCCATTACTATTTCCAATTTCTTAATCCTGCTCCCTGGTTGCCATGAAATTCTAAGAATACAAGTTTCTTCCAGCAACAAATACCTCTAGAGTCATCTTCTAATACTGAGTCATATAAAACACAAAACTAGAAGCTATTGGAAAATAGAAGATGAAGGTATTAAAATTGAGCTTTCATTATTATTAGTTCCATTCAACTAATGTTTATTTTTATAGCTTATTTTATAGTTTATTTCTGATTATCTTCCCTGACCTTAATCTTAAACTAAATTATAAACGACTTTTAACTTCTTTCCACATTATCTCATAGGAAGTTTTATCACAGGGTAAATAGCTTTAGCAAAGCTACAAATTTGATTATATACTAACTTCTAAAGCAAACTTATCTAAAGAATATTTTCTAAGATAATCATAAGCATTTCAGTAAGTAACCAAACTCCTTATTTTAGCATTACTGAATCTGGAATTTCTTTATCATCATCTACTTTGCAAGTATTTGTTCATCAAGAAGTGTAATCAATGAAAGAAAAAAGACAAAGAAGAGAACAAGCTATTTTCTGTTTCACAACAAGATTGCCCAGATGTTGTGGCTGGAATACATCACAAGTGACATTTCTAGTAGTGTTTCCAATCATTTGGAACATACAATTTTTCCTTTGCAATTTTCAAGCTTTTGAATGCTCTGAGTCCTGCTGTCAGCAATAGCAGCCCAGAAAAGGATTCACACCGAGTAGACTCTACCTGATGTCATCTTCTGCTCCAACTTGGGGCACTTATCTTCTTGGAATTCTTCTTCCTAAGTGCCAGCCCCACAAACCAGAAAAGCAGAAAGAAAGTAAAAAATAAAGCATTAATTTATAGAAAGACTTTTTTTTTCAAAACTACTGATTAATATGAAATCAAAATCTGAGAAAATTAGACTGATCCCCAAAGTGCTGAGATTTTGGACAAGCAAAACATAAATATTCAATACTGAGTACATATCTGTGGGAGTACTGGGTTACACACCTCTGGGGTGYCATTCACATGGAAGTATCAATGAATCTGACCCTTGAGTAGCACAACCCAGGGATCCTCTGGAACTACACATCTGGGGACACTGATTACTTAGACACGGTGGCAATAAACCTCTCTAGGAGTTCTTCCAGCATGGTGGAACAAAGAAAATTATATTTGATTCATAATTCAAGGAGCTGAATCCATGTATTATTATATTTTTTTGTACTGGGGCACTCTACCACTGAGCCACATCCCCAGCCCTGTTTAGTTTTTCTTTGGAGATAGAGTCTCCATAAGTTACTTAGGTTCTCGCTAAATTGCTGAGGCTTACTTCGAACTCACGATCCTCCTGCCTCATCCTCCTGATCCCTGGGATTACAGGCGTGCACTCCACATTGTTACAGACTACATGAACTTTTGAAAGTTCTAGCATTATTCAGTTATTTTTATCTCTGGAAAGGTGGATATTTACCTTCTCCTCTGAATCCTGGTATTATGGTCCTTACTATTATATTTTATTGTTTATTAACACATATTAATTGTACATATTAATGGGGCTCAATATGATATTTCAAACTCATGCATAGAATATGCCTTAACAAAACCAACCTCCCCTTATCCACTCTCCCTCTCTTCCTCTGGTAATCACTATTCTAGGTCCATGTTGACTTTTCTTGGCTTCCAAATATGAGACAGAGCATGTAGTACCTATCTTTCTGTGTCTGGCTAATTTCACTTAACATAAGTAAAAATAAGTCCTCCAGTTTCTATCCATTTTGTGCAAATGACAGCATTTCATTTTCTTTATGACTGAACTATATCTCATTGTGTGTCACTACATTTTCATTATTCATTAATCTTTTGACAGATACCAAGGTTGATCCTATATCTTAGCTGTTATGAATAGTACCACAATAAACCTGGGTGTTCAGGGAGCTCTTTGATGTGCTGATTTCACTTCCTTTGAATATATATCCAGAAGTGGGATAGCTGGATCATATAATAGTTGAATTTTTAGTTTTTTGAGGAATCTCTATATTGTTATGCATAATGGTTATCCTAATTTACATTCCCAACAGCTTATGAGAGTCCTTTTTCTCCACATCTTCACCAGCATTTGCTATTATTATTTTTTATAATAACCATTCCAAACATCACAGGACCTGATATTCTTCAATGACAACTGTCACTGCTGTAATGCTGATAAAAGTAGACCCTGATAGAAGTAAGGGAGGTAAATTAGGAGGATGCTTAAGGGATATTTCTCTAACCTCTCTAGTTTTGCTGAAGGATGATTTTATGCTGATTCTTTCATTTATTTTTTTCCTTTCATTAAACATTTTTAAGTACTATTATGGGCCATTTTGTGGGATCTTACTCTTTAGGCAGGATCCCTTCTAATATCCCTTAAATTACCCCAAGCAGTGCCTTTGCAGCTTCCTTCCTAATCTGGAACACTTTCTGCACACACTTTGTTCTTTAAAAATTTAGCTCAACAGAGGATATTCTAGACCACAATAAGCATATGGGAATGGGATTTCCTATGATAACTGTGTACTCTGTAGCCAAAATGAAAAAATGGAACTCCAAAAATGATATTGTCCACCATAGAAACACTTCCAAAGTTGTGCTTAGCTTACCAGTTCCTGGATAATAGCTCATCAGGATCCAACTCCAGCAAATACTGAAGCTCAATTAGTAAGAAAGAAATTCACTTTTTTTCTTCATAAAGATTAGTTTCATTAGATCAGTACCAGCTCATAAAAGAATTGATATCACCTGTGTTGGGAACAAGTGTTTTTCCAGAGATAAAAACCATCTCCAGCGTTCATCATCAGAGACCAATCCCAAAAATTTGTCTTATTTTTAAAACCCATGAAATAGTTTGAGCATAGGCAATTTGGGTAAACAAGGACTCAGTTCAATTATCTCAAATTTATGGATTATAAGAAATTTTAATGAAAATTTCTTTCAAACTTGCATTTCTAGAAAGGGTGCGAATTAATAATATACAAAAGAACATRAAAATTATAGAAAAGGCCCATAGCATAGCAACTAAACACAGCAAGTAATTTCTTGCTTCACAAGGCCCAACGGGATAATATATACTAACGACATAAGGAGTTATTTTATAATATAGCCACAGGGAAAGTCTCTTGAGATGCCAAAATTATCCAAATAAAGTTGTTTCGTACATAAAAGTTTCTGTCCTTTGAGCTAATGAAAATGCTTATTTTTTATGGCTCTGAATTCCAGAATTGTGAAACATAGCCTTTTAGTTTTCTCCAAACATATTTATTACCCCATTCTAATGAGTCCCCCCAAGTTTCCCTATAGTAAGAGTTGAAAACCCCACCCCCAACAATCTGCAATCTGCAGAGGGAAGGATCTTTGGAATCCTCTTTACTGTAGCATGCTCAGCACAGAATAAATAAACATCTGTCTTTGATAGTATAAACTATGTTCTATTTAGAGAAAAGTAGCTAAGCTCTGTAGATTCATGTGTCTCTGCTCTTCAATTCAAATCTGTGATTTGCTGAGTTTGTTCTTAGCAGCTTTTTCCCAGCAATGCTGGAGTAAAATGACAACAACCCAACTGTAATGGACATCTGTTGATCTTGCTGCTTAGCATTCATTCACTATCTAATAAGGGAAGTCTCATTTCATCTTTAAAACTATCCCTTCCCACTTTTAAGGAGCTCTGGTTCCTGTGCTTTCATGTGGTTCACAAAACTGACTCCAGAGGTTAAGCATGTAACCCAGGCCTGTGCCCATCAGTATGCTGCATTTTCCTCTGATTGGTACAGRATAGTCATGTGACCCAATTAGGGATAATGAGAAGTAATCAGATTTTTCTCTGGATTTCGGGGAATATGATTTCTGTTGGTATCCACTGTTTCTGAAACCTGAGACAACTGTTGGGGCGGAAATTGCTGCTGTGGCTGCCATTTTGCTCTCAAAAGCAAAATGCTGAGACTGGGTTCCACACCACAGAAGTCAAGAGATGAACTGATGCTGTGTTCTGATATCAGTCAATCCCCCAGTTCAGCCTTACCTGAAACAAGCTTAACTAGACTTTTTAGTATAAGTCAGCTAAAACACTTAGTTTTAAAATATGTGTGTATATGTATACATACACACACATACACACACACACATATACATTTTTTAAAAATAAATCCAATGTATATTAGGTTTTCTGTCCTTTCTAATAGGATGAGTCCTAGCTGATGCCACAATGTGAACACCCTAGCTCTTGAAGGGAGTCATGTGTGATGATCATGGGCTTCTCTCCCTCACTCTCCCTTATGTGTTTTACAATGCTGGTTTAATCAAACATGACCCAGATGTGTTGACAAGGTTGAGCATTCCTTATCTGAAATGCTTGGGACCAGAAGTATTTCAGATTTCAGATGTTTTTGGAATATTTGTAGATACATAATGAGACACCTTGAGGGATGGGACCCAAGTCTAAAACTGAAATTCATTTATTTTATGTATATCTTATACACACCGCCAAAAGATGATTTTATATTTGTTTAGTGTGCCTAATGTTTTGAGTATGACCCATCACATAAGATCAAGTATGAATTTTCCACTTGTGGCACTCAAAAAGGTTCAGATTTGGGGTATTTCAGATTGTGAAATGCTTTGGACTTGGAGCATTTCAGATTTGGGGTTTTCAAATTAAGGTACTCAGCCAATATTAAAATTTGGCAAACGATTCGACTTTTCACTTATTTTCTGCAAGGTTTAATTACAAAATATTTTATTAAAAGGCTATGTTAAACCACAACCTGGGTTTACACCTTATGAGTTCAAGGTATGATTTTAGTAATAATAAGTTTCTTTTCAAAGATTCACTAGGTTGAGCAGGAGAGAGAGAGAGAGAGAGAGAGAGAGAGAGAGAGAGAGAGAACGAGAGAGACAGAGAGAAAAACACAGCCACATCAATGTTTATAGCAGCTCAATTTACAATAGCTAAACTGTGGAACCATCCTACATGTCCTTCAATAGGTGAATGGAAAAGAAACTGTGGTATATATACACAATGGAATATTACTCAGCATTAAAAGAGAATAATATTATGGCATTTGCAGATAATGGATGGAGCTGGAAAATATCATGCTAAGCAAAGTAAGCCAATCTAAAAAAAAAAAAGGCAAAATGTTCTCTCTGATAAGTGGATGCTGATCCATTACAGGGAGCAGGGAGGCATGGGAAAAATGGAGGAACTTTGATTGAGTAAAGGGGAGGGAAGGTGGGGAAGGTGCATGGGGGCAGGACAGATGGTGGAATGAGATGAACATCATTACCCTAGGTACATGTATGACTGCACATAGGGTGTGACGCTACATCCTATACAACTAGAGAAATGAAAAATTGTGCTACAATTGTGTACAATGAATCAAAATGCATTCTGTTGCCATATATACCTAATTAGAATAAATTAATTCATTAATTTAAAAAATAAAAAATTAAATAGATGGGTAAATAAATAAATAAAATAAAAATAAGGGAGGTAGGGAGGGAAAATAAGAATAGAAAAACTTTAAAGAATATGGACTTCATTCACTTACTTCAAGTCATTTAGTTTGGCTTCGAGGTTTTGTGGCACTTACAGCTGACATTTTCCTCTAAGACATCATGCCAAGAAGCAGAAAGGTAGTTTGAGAGACAAACAGAATTCTCGAACAAGGATTAAGGAGGGCTGGTTCCATTTGCCTTCACTCGTTAGGACAAGTCTATGTCTGATTCTTGGCCTCCACTTTCTCCATTTAGAAAATGTGTTCCAAA